GCTGTGTCCCAGGTGCAAAATCTGGCACTTGGGGCACTTAACCCATCTCAGCTAGAGAGACACCACCTGCTCCACCCACAAAGCTGGGCAGGGTCTGATGCTGTTGGAAATCAGCACACGTGTCTGCATCTAAATTCACACAAAGCCAGTTTAAGGCAGTTTCTCAAACTAGACCAGGGAAAGGTTCACAAACAATCAGGATGCACAGATAAAACGTACTCAGCGGCAGCTGCACTCCACCAAAGCCAGGGAGCAAGAAGTAGCTGTAATTACTGGCCACAAGTTTTTAAACCAGACTACTAGGAACATCCTATTATTTTTAACTGTGGGCAGCAGCTTGGGTTGGTTGTTCCTCACCCCAGTTGCAGTTGTAGCCCCTCAAGCCACTCCTCCAAAATGGAGGGACTACGTTGCTGATGATGTGGGACAGGAAAGTAGAAAGGGTAAATCAAGGCAAAGGAGCTAAAAAATTGTTCGAATTCCCAAAAGCTGATGGAAAAAAAGACTTCAGAGGGTTGGCCACTAAACTGGGCTCCTAAGTATTTGGCTTACAGTCCTAGTTAAGGGCAGTTAATGACAAAACAAGGGGAAATGGGTTTAAACTGAAAGAGGGGAGGTTTAGATGAGATATTAGGAAGAAGTTCTTCACTGTGAGGGTGGTCAGACACTGGAACAGGTTGCCCAGAGAAGCTGTGAATGCCCCCTCCCTGGAAGTGTTCAAGGCCAGGTTGGATGAGGCTTTGAGCAACCTGGTCTAGCGGAAGGTGTCCCTGCTGCTGGCAGGGGGGTTGGAACTGGATGATCTTGAAGGTCCCTTCCAACCCAAACCATTCTATGATTCTATGATTCTAGTTCCTGGATGACAGCTTTTTTATTTAGTCTGTCTCTCTGAAAAAATGAAATAATGCTAATTCCCTCCTTTGTAAAGTCTTACACAGGAGCTAAGGAAATATTATTAGGAAATGAAGTTGCAGCCTCACCCACTTGCACAGCTGTATGGACAAAGGGAAAGGTGCAGACAAGGAAATGTAAGTGTTACCGTGTCCCAAAAATAATACTGGAGCCTCATCAAAGCCTGGGTCTCTCCTCCACTGCAGGGGAAAGCTGTTCGTGGATCAGTCACAGGATCTGCCACAGAAAACACCATCGCCTTGTTACCACCTTGGGAAGCACGTCAGAGGTAGGGAGCTTAAAAACTAGGGATGCTCGGCAGTAGGGATGTCTGCTTTGGGGACATTAAAGATTGTGTGCCCTGTTCTTCCTTTAAAACAAGAGCCACATCAAACTTACTAAAAATTACTAAGAGGATGTTTTCTGTCCAGCTGCAGGGCAGCTCCTCCACACAGGGAATTTACCTCCATTTGCTGTATGAGTGAACAGAGGCTTAGGTACCTTTTTCAGGGCAACCCCTGCCTTTGGGAGGCCTCCATGTTTTGATTCTCAAGAAGAGACTCAATCCTGAGTAGGATTTCATGGGAGCAACCACCAAATGAAATATTCTTACCCTTCTGTCCCAACTCCTCCATTGTAGGGACAGCTCCTTCCTCCACCCCTGGAGTCAGAGGCTTTAGCTGATCCGCCATCCGCAGGGTCGGCCGGACCTTGGCCTGCGATTCCACGGCTTTTCGGAAATGGGTGTAGACATCAGGCAGCCTGCAGAGGTGACAGCGCAGTCACATCCCCGCAGGATGGCCACCCTGGCCCCTCCACACAGCTTCCACAGCTTCCACAGATGGAGGGTTAGTTTCTCAGACTGCCCATATTTGTGACGGATGCACAGTCACATCCCCGCAGGATGGCCACCCTGGGCCCTCAGCACAGCTTCCACAGCTTTTTCAGACTGCCCATATTTGTGATGGATGCGTGTGCAGCACCTCACACAACAGGGGCAGATGGCCCTGGGGCTAGCAGCAATCACAGGTTCAGCCCTTCACTCAGTTTCTTTCTGTGTCCGATGCAAATGGTGCCTTTTCAATTTCAGGTGTGTCCTGATGGGGTGATCCATGAGGGTCAGATTTATCTCACCTGACTTCTGATTACACACAAGCCTGACCTCTATATAAACATTTGCAACCTCCTGCTGCCTTTTCAGTCAATGGAGAGAAATGGGTATTTTTACAGCTTGACTCTTCTGCCCTATTTTATACATTTTCTATAAATGTATAAAATTTATATATAAATGTATATAAATTTATACATTTTCTGTCTCTTTTGACAGGCTGAAGGAGTTGGGGCTGTTCAGCCTGGCGAAGGCTCCAGGGAGATCTTATAGCGGCCTTCCAGTACCTGAAGGGGGCCTACAAGAAAGCTGGGGAAGGACTTTTCATAAGGGCAGTTAATGACAAAACAAGGGGAAATGGGTTTAAACTGAGAGAGGGGAGGTTTAGATTAGATATTAGGAAGAAGTTCTTCACTGTGAGGGTGGTCAGACACTGGAACAGGTTGCCCAGAGAAGCTGTGGCTGCTCCTCCCTGGAAGTGTCTAAGGCCAGGTTGGATGAGGCTTTGAGCAACCTGGTCTAGTGGAAGGTGTCCCTGCTGATGGCAGGGGGGTTGGAACGGGATGAGCTTTAAGGTCCCTTCCAACCCAAACCATTCTGTGGTTCTAAGATACCATGAATCCCTCAACTCCATCAATTACACCTCACGTGACTAATGAGGGAGCCATGAAGAGTCCACAGGCAAGGGGCTACTGCCCCAGGCAGCTGCATTTAGCCAGATGGGGTAACGGAGCAAACCAGTCCAATGTCACAAGGGCTCTGGGCGCTGCAGACTGAGCATCCAAACTGGGCTGGAAATTAGTCCCTCAAGAAATGGTCAAACAAACCCCACAGCTTTATGCATATTGAAGTCTAAATCCTGCTTCTACAGAGGGATGAACGTGCCCCTTCCCCTTGATCTCAGAATCAGAGAATCACCTAGACTGGAAAAGACATTTAAGATCACCGAGTCCAATCATTAACCCAACACTGACAAGTCCCCGACTAACCCATGTCCCTCAGCACTGTGTCTACACGACTCTTCAATCCCTCCAGGGATGGGGACTCCACCACTGCCCTGGGCAACCCCTTCCAATGCCTCAGAACCCTTGCAGCAAAGAAATTCTTCCTCACATCCCATCTCAACTGCCCTTGGGGCAACTTGAGGCCATTTCCTGTTGTCCTCTCACTTGATCCTTGGTTGAACAGACCCACCCCCACCTCTCTGCACCCTCCTCCAAGGGACTTGGACAGAGCCAGAAGGTCTCCCCTCAGCCTCCTTTTCTCCAGGATCAACAACCCCAGTTCCCTCAGCCAGGAACTCATCACACTTGTGCTCCAGACCCTTCCCCAGCTCCGCTGCCCTTCTCTGGACACGCTCCAGCACCTCCATGTCCTTCTTGGAGTCAGGGGCCCAAAACCAAACACAGCACTCGAGTGATGTGTATGAACACAACAGCACTGATCCATAACTGCAGATGGACTAATGGGTCCCTTTCCTGTGGAAGACCAAAATCCTTCCTGAGCAGTTCACTGGATTGAGAAACAAACGGGACAGTGGGGGAGTGAGTGACACTGTGGAGCAGCCCACCTGGCAATGGGCCTGAAGGGAAGGTCGTCCCGATGATACAGCGTGGATGCCCAGAACTTCTGGATCTTCACCCCATGCTGACTACACACCTGGCACAGCCCCTTCTCCACATCCAGCTCCTCCTGCGTGGCCTGGGGAGAACAAAACACAGTGAGGCCATGGCTGCAGGGCCTCAGCTCCCACACACACAGACCCTGGTCACTGATCTTGCCCTCCTGCCTCACCTCCACATTCAGCATGAACCCTTGCAGGAGAGGTGCACACACACAACCTCTGAGTATTCTCCTCTGCCAAACCCAAGTGTTTTCACTCTCCATTAGCAGGGCCAATGGCAGAATAAGGAACTTCTTGATGTAGGACTTGCAGGTCTTTTAAGTCTGCATGGACTGGAGAGGTGACTGGACAAGTACACACAACAGAAATCCACTGAGGGTTACTGGATATCAGGATAGCATTCCTTTGCCAAGAAGTCCTTGAACCACTAATTCTTGGAGGCTGGGGAAGTATTCAGAGGAAGTATCATCTTTACAGATTTATCCTGCTCCTTTGGTATTCTCTAAGCATCTGTTACTGGTCACTGCCAGGAGAAAGGCAATGGAGTTAGATGAGGCCTTTTGTCTGATCCTCTGTGGTTGTTCTTGGAGCTGCACAGAACAAGGCAATTCGGGATGTGTAGGTTGTCAAGTTACAAGAGTCTTAGGCCTGACAGCAGGAAGAGCCGCAGTGCAGGTCACAGAGTGATTCCTGCAGTCAACAGTCTGAGGTCCAGACTCTGATAATACCGAGTGCATCTATGAATGTATATGGATGTGTGTGTACACAAGGCCTCCAGGCCCAGTGGTCTGAAGTCACAGAACCCCAGAATTCCCTGGATTGGAAAAGACTTTTAGGATCATTGAGTCCAATCATTAACCCAACACTGACAAGTCCCCGACTAACCCATGTCCCTCAGCACTATGTCTACACGACTCTTCAATCCCTCCAGGGATGGGGACTCCACCACTGCCCTGGGCAACCCCTTCCAATGCCTCAGAACCCTTTCAGCAAAGAAATTCTTCCTCACATCCAATCTCAACTGCCCTTGGTGCAACTTGAGGCCATTTCCTCTTGTCCTGTCCCTTGGTCCTTGGTTGGACAGACCCACCCCCACCTCTCTCCACCCTCCTTTCAGGGAGCTGGACAGAGCCAGAAGGTCTCCCCTCAGCCTCTTTTTCTCCAGGCTCAACAACCCCAGTTCCCTCAGCCACTAATTCAGCAGGCTCTGGATCAAACCACTTAGCTCCATGAAGACAGGTCAGGGACACGCCAACACTATTGGCAGTCCTGGGCTGGACTCATCTTTCATTTTTCAACGAACAGATAGGAAACTGCCTAAATATGGGTGCTGTCAACAAACCGTGGGCCTTTTCTACTCATAATACAACATGCCCTCTGGCAGCTAGCCCCCTGTGCAAGGCACCAGGAAACAGCAGCTTGATGCAAACAGAAGGAGAAATGGACTCAAATGACCTAAAATGCCAGTTGCTGCAAATTCCTCTTCCTCAAGACACAGCACTTGCAAGTGATCAGTCACAAATGGCTGCTGTCACCCAGCAAGAACTCCCACACAAGCGCCTCCACCATCCCCATCCCAGGAGCTAGCCAGTTTCCCCAAGGTTAACAATACCACAGACAAGAAAGACTCTGAACACACAGGATCTGCATCACCATTTGGTTGTGGAAGAAACTTCCACAATCTAATTTTATCCTTTAACAATGACATTTCCCTTACCTCTTCATGGAAAGCCACAGCGCTGACAGAGCCCAGCTGAGTAATCAGATCACAGATGACATCTTCTGGCTTCCCCTTCCTCACAACCAGGGTGCTGCAAACACAAAATATTGGCCTGAATTAGGTTTGATGGTTTTGTTATTTCTGTGTACAGGAGGCCCCAGTTCTGGCCCAGGCACCCACATACTAGTTCTCTACGGAGCACGGATAGCATGTGAAGGCAGACAGAAAGGATTTGACTAGCCTACATTTTTTTAGGACTCACTGAACAGTTTGTAAGCCTCTGGGGCTGAGTTTGTGTCAAACACATTCCTACCACCCCGGATGCCTTAGAAAGGATGACTGGGCAGAAAGCCAGGCTGTTACCTAAAAGTAAATCAGTCAGATGTGTTCACCCTCACACACTAAGGCTGAGATTCAAGACCTGATTCCTCTGTCAATCCCCTTCACAGGTAGTGATGGCCTGTGGGCAGACCCCTCTCCACTTTCATGTGGGAGTATTCAGAGGAATTCTTTCCTCTGAATGTTCTGTGTTCGTAACAGAGTCAACAAAACTTCCCTCCCACCTTGCAACCTCACCAGCTGCCCAGCTGTGTACCCAGGGCATCAGACCAAAGGAGAAGCTGTGGTGAGAAAGTTGGTCAGAGGTGGGTGCAGAGTTCTGTGAGGAGCCTCATACATGACTCCATCCCTTTCCCCGTGTCTCTCCCTCTCTCTCTCTCACACACACACACTACTGTGCCTGTGCTGGAGAAGAATTTTTGAAGAGGTAATAAACTGTTTTTGCCAGAATAATTTAAAGCATAATTGAAAACTTTCCTCAAAGATGGGTTGGATCTGAAGAAGGCAGGAGCAAGGGGTGCTGTTGAGCAAGCTGCTCCCCTTAAACCCCACAGAAAAGCAGAGGCCACGTTGCCCACAGGGAACACCACAGACTGGACATGGAGGAGATTTCTACCACTGCATTAAGATACTTCATGGTTGTGGAAATAGAGCCTAGGTCTTAGCGTGGCTCTTCACAACCACACAGCTCTCACTGCAGAAGAACAATCTCTTATCAGCCACTGACAACATCAGCAGCAGCATCCAAGCAGCAGTGAATCTGTTCACTGCAGGGTGCAGGTGCAGATACCACTGATCAGTTCTTTCAGTCTCCTGTAACATTGACTATTTGCATGGTCCACACTGCGCTGCAAACCCAGAGCCACTTCTCTTGCTTCAACCTACCAATGTTATGCTGCTCTGGGAGAAGACAGGCTGGCTGACACATCTTCTGCTAAGCAAAGCCAGATGTTTTCTGGTAATGGCATTTTTCTGCATGTAGACCTTCAGGCCCTAGTCTAACCTAGTTATGGTTTCTAGAGGCATAATGAAGGAGGAATTCCTGAAGACCCCCTGCCCACAGTGTAGCCTACCAAAGAGATTTAGTTTAGCAGGACAGGGCATGAGCAAACTTAACCCTCCAGTCACACAAGCCAGGATCCATGATGGTCTATCTCTACTGAGGGAAAATTCACTAGAGACAGGGAAGGATGCGTGCCACAGTGGCTAGTGTCATTGCCTACATCTCAGGACTGCCATTCATGTCTCCAGTCATCAGAACTCTGGGCAAAGCGCTCAAGGCTGACACCCATCTGTGGTATCTGAGTTCAAGAAAGCAACACCCCAAATGGCACACAGCCTGGATGGCTCTTTGCTCCCTTGCAGATGCCACAGCAGGTCATCTGAACAGGGGTTATGTATGGGACCTTACAGTACCTAACAGGAGGGCTGTGGATCTCTGAAGCGAGCCATCATCAGAGCCCAGAGTATCTGACCTGATCTGACTCACAGCACAAACAGTATTCATAGAATCACAGAATGGTTTGGGTTGGATGGGACCTTAAAGATCATCCAGTTCCAACCCCTCTGCCATCAGCAGGGACACCTTCCACTAGACCAGGTATTGAAAAATAGAAAGAAAATAAAAACAGACGTGCTATTTGCACGGTGCTTTCTCAACTACCTTCCTTTCTTCTTGAGCGTCTCCCTAAGATCCTTCGCGCTTTCCAGCAAAAACCTGAGCCGATGGGGCCCTGTTTTCGGGAAGCCGTAGCAGTGGGTGCCCAGGTAGTGCCGCGGGTCGAAGCAGTAGAGGGGAATAACGAAATCTGCGTTGCTCTGAGCCCAGTGGAGCACCTGGAAACACAGAGAGAGGCCCATGGCAGCTCTCGGGGGCAGGATGCAGCACACACCCCTCCCCAGTCTACTCAAGAGCGGGGTCATTTCTAAAGAAACACC